GAAGATTGCCTGTCACCAAACCTGCAGATGGCAGTGCGCTCCCATGCGCAGTTGCAGAAACCTCTCAAACACAATGATACGCTTCCCTTGGGACTCGAAACATCGTTCAAGCGCGTTCTTGTACGCTCTGACCTGAATTTCACCACGCGGTAAAATGACAGAGAAAAGTGAGACATCATGCCGTAAAATGACAGAGACAGAAGCCGACAGACAAAAGTGAGTGCGCAGAGAACGAACCATAGAGACTATTAGAGAGTCGTTTGGCAAAATGGACGACAGGGGAAAAAAAAAAAAAAAAGACTTTGGTCTTAACCCGAAAATAACGCCTGGGTGTTATGTACAAATATATAACGTCTGGTGGGCATTTTATCCATTGTTATATTCATTCGTTGACAACAGTCTCAGGCGTGATATTCAGTGAATTTTGGTGGCGACGTCACCAAGGCCCCAAAAATTGGAAAAAAAAAGAAACAAGAAAAAAAATCAAAAAATATGTTAAAAAAAAAGGGAAACAAAAAGTTTGTGTAGAATTGTAATGAAAAAGTTGCAAACGGCTATATAGTAAATCCCATTTTGGAATGATTTTTTTCTCAGGAGGTATGTCTGAGTAGGCGGAGGTTTTCTAAATCAGAACATACAACGCGTCTGAGCTTTTTTTCCTTTTTTTTTTTTCCCCCGCATCTTCCGATGGACCACGTATCAGAGATTAAACTGACAAGAACAGAATTCAACAGACACTACTCTTGAATCTTGAATCTTAGCCAAAAGGTCGAGAAACTTGGAGAAAGGTAATTCATGAACAAGATTAATTATATCACGGATTCAAAAAAAAATCAAGTTCCAGCATTTCCTCAATTCCGTTATACATGTGGAGTGGTAAGGCCATTTCTTGAGAAATGTGAAATTGCATTCATGCCCTCCCTCCCTCCCTCCCTCCCTCCCTCCCTCCCTCCCACCCACCCATATCACTCTATGCTTACCTCGGCAAATGCTGCAGTTGGCAGAGATAGAAGGGACGGAAAATGTTCTACCGGAAGCACCAATACATGTCCTGGAACAAGTGCGCCCTGAAGGGCATCATGAAGAGCCACCAACCCCATTTCACCATTTCAGCACCCACCCCCCATTTCACCATTTCAGCACCCACCCAGCAGCCCATTACAGAGGCAGGTCAAGATTGCCAGCGAGCGCAAACGAAGATAGAGGCAGGCACACATAACCACAGGCGTGAAGAAAAAGCATCCCCCTCCCTTTCCCCAGCCACAGCACAGCCACAGGCTTCCGCATCCCGGTAGACATCCAAAGAAACAAACAAACAAACAAAAACACACACACAAACAGACAAACACACAGAGAGCAGGGAAGGGGAGGGGGGAAGGAGAGAAGAGCAAAACAAACGCGTCAAAACAAAACCTACAGGTAAAGCTTGGTGAGCCAAATGACAGAAAGGAAAAGGAAAAAGGGAAAACAAGCGGAAACGCTCCGGAGCAGAAGACCCCAAGAGAGGTGAGAAGGGCCTCGCTCCACTACTCACCAAACGTGCAAAACGAGAACGAATCTTCCCCTAGAACACGGAAAGATACACCGCCATATTTTTTGTCTTTTGTGCATGATGTGGTGAGTCGCGGAGCGAGGCCAGAAGACAAGAGGAAAACAAGCACAAAGAAGCAACAAGCATGCCAAAAATAACTTAGTCAACGCATGACGACTCTCGGGACTGAAAGACCCCACATTTACACGCTCTCTACTGCCTTTAGAAGATCAAATTTATTTATTACCCTTTTTTTTTTTGGGGGGGGGGGGGGGGGGGGGGGGGGGGACATGGATTTCCCCATTTTTGAGGCTTTTTTTTTTCATTTTTCCCCTCTATATAGTCTTAGGAGTAGTGGTCGGAAGGTAGTGAAAGGCGAAAAAGAATTTGAGGGAGGAGGCGACTTTTTGTTGATGAGTCGCCTTCATCAGCATCTGAGAAGGAATGCAGTGTTGATTCTACTTTAGGACTTGGAGGTCTGAGAACAT